TTTTACCCATTATGGCCTCAGCTTTGAATGAAGGTTACACCTAATAATACAAGATACTGCCCTGCTTTATTGTAATGAAAATACTGTCAATGTCACCTCAAGGCTGATGAAGGAATAGGTTGGTGTAGGAAGGTAGAACGCATACTGCTGAATGTGGTGTCTCACAGCAAAATGATGACTGAAAATATGAACCATCCAGTGTAATCAGATTCTAGATTACATCTTCTGATTATAAGAATATTAACTGGTTAATGACCTTTTCAGATGGGAAGCGATTGACATGCCTAGTACTTCCCTTTCAATCAGGGTTCCCCCTCTTTTTAAGAAATAATTTCCTTGACAGGACAGGACAGCACTTTTTTTCCAAATACCTGGCCAATAAAAGTGTTTTCTTTACCAGTGCAAACTGTAGCAGGTAAAGGTGGAACTATAAACTGTGGCTGCTCTTCCTTCGCCACTGTCGTGTGACTAGCTTGGTAGCTTTATTGATATCTGCCTGGTGGACACACACACACACACACACACACACACCCTCTTCCTGTTTCTCTCCCTGTATGTGTCTCGGGTTGACTTTCTTCAGCAGTTTGTTTTATAAAGTCGCATTAGGGATTTTTTCACCCACATGTGGGAAACAATCGAAACCAACAAGGTGCCAAATGACAGCAGCACCAACCGGTGTTCTCACTGGCGTTCACTGTTGCTTTACCTAGCTGGTAAATCTCTCTCTCTCTCTCTCTCCCTCTCTCTCCCTCTCTCTCCAGAGCAGCGTGACTGTCAGTGGACTGTACAGGAGGGGCAGAGCGAGGGCAGATTGTCCACACAGCACTGGGAGTGAGAGAGGCTTTACTGAAGCAATGGCACAAAACAAAATGTTACAGGGAAGAAGAAACATATTTTTGGTTCATTATAAAACTATGGCCGACTAATTGGACCGTGGCAGGCCGCCACAGTTAAGGTAATTAATGGGAAACACTGACCCTCTGAGCTCTTTGGACACTATGTATCTCAGTAACTAAAGCCTTGTGCACATTAATTCAGCTGGTTGAGAACTACAAAAGTTCAAACATCCTCTGGTTCCAGCTGCTTTTTCTCGGTTTTATTACACTGTGAACTGAATATCTTTGAGTTTTGTGGTTAGTCGGAATAAACCAGCAATCCAAAGTCACCTTGTGATAAGTGTTTTTCACTCTATTCTGTCATTTTACAGAACAAACCGTTAATCAAGAAAAACAACTGAAAATAATCACTAGTTGCATTTTTCTTCATCCCATTTGCAGCTGCTTCGTCCCATTTGCTCTAATCAAACTGGATTTGGTTTCTAAACAGACAAATGATCAATTTTTACATTTGCCTACAAGTTCTCAGCTGCAGCTGCAGAATACATTAAACTGAGCCACATTTTACACAAACACCAATAATCCGGTCTTGCTTTAATACAATAAAATGTTATGAAACTTTAATGATACTCATGGGAAATTGTGTAGTATTAAAACTTCTTTTGGGTACATTTAATGTAGCTCCCTAACTACTGCAACTGTCACGTAAGCCCCTTAAGCCCCTGTCCCCCAGGACCAATATCACCCGAGGGATAGTAACAGAAAACTTGTAACCAATATGGTGACTTAATCCCACAGAAATCTGCTGTGTCTTAAATCTACAGAGGAAAACTTGGAGAACACAGAGGTTCCCTGATGATACTAATCCTGTGTGAATCAAATCCAGCCACTGTAGCCAGGATCTCATGTGCATTATGATTAAATGAATATTTAATTTGTGTCCCTGCAGCAACAACATGCTCAGGGGGGTTGCTCTGACATTCCCCACTTAAGTTTTCCCTTCCCTAGTGGTTCTCAACCGGTGGGGCCGAGTAGGCTACAGGATGGGAGGAAAAAAAAAAATCATCACTAAAATTCCCCCCCATGTCGATATGCAAGTGGTTGGACTATTATAACACACAATCAAATCAACCACACAGTTTCATTTCAAATCTACCAATACAGGGGGTAGTATTTTGAGCCTGTGACGTGACGTCACGTAAGTGCTACTATATAAAAGTCTGCACACACGTCATAGCCAGTGTTGCCAACTTGGCGACTTTCTCTCTAAATCTGGCGACTTTCCAAATCCTCCTGGCGACTTTTTTTGTCAAAAGGGTCTAGCGACAAATCTAGCTTCTTTTACTGGTGGTATTCGAGACTTTTGTGTTGTTTGGAGACTCTGACTTGAAAGCACGTATCACTCTGCAGTTACTGTGCTCAACCAGTAGCGGGTGTTGCCATGAGCCCCTCCCCATCCAAAAGCACTCACAGGCGGTCAGTCTCTAAGTAGCCTCGCGCAGCAGTCCCAGCCTGCAGTCAGAGCAGAGAGGAGACACACACCACTCCGCGTCCAGGCTGCAAATGAATCGCGCAGACATTACGCCAAGAATTGAGGATCTTTGCAAGGCAAAGCAGGCTCAGGTCTCACATTAACATCGCCTACCTGCAAGCTTCTGTAAAAATGCAGATGATAGGCCAACTATTAGGCCTAGTAATAATAACAATAATAAAGCATAAATTCATATCAGAGGTCTAGTGCCAATTCCCAATTATACCAATAGCCTAGTAATGATAATAGGCCTTATGATGATGATAATAATAATAATAATAAAAATAACAATAATAATAATAATAATAATATGGGCTCTATCCCAGACTCGGTTGTCTCCTCCTCTGGTTCGAGTCTGATGCTGTCGCTGAAGGACCAGGACTTGGCGATTTTTAAACACACAGGACTTAGCGCGGTGAACAGGACCACAGCCAATCAGAGGCAAAGACCCGCCCGAGCTCTGTCTCTTATTGGTTTAGAACCCGATATGATCCTACCATGAGTGTGTGAGTTCGGTCACAGGAGAACACAGAGAGATGATGCGCTTGCAAAATAAATTTATGTTTTCACCCGGGCAGCGTCAGGTGCAACGGTGCGGCCTAGAAAAATGATTAGTTGCACTCTTAACATTTTTTAAAATTGGTCGCACTCTGGAGCCCTGTAATAATAATAATAATAATAATAATAATAGCCTAGCCTAGGGCTATCTATCTATCTATCTATCTATGCAAGGTGGTGAAGTGGGGGTGGCGGGAGGAGCCCAACTACAATGAACCAGGAAGGGGCTTGCAAAGGTTGAGAACCCCTGCCTTACTACTATATTTGATCAGCAGTGCCTGATGTTGTGCCAGACGGACCTGTAGACTGGACGTAACTGGTTAGACCTGCAACCAATCCGAGCATTAATAGGTGTGGCCTTTCACACATCAGTCATCATATCAAGCTCTCCCCACGTTAGATAAACAGTTGTGACTGGCCAGAGCAGATCCAGGATGGTGGCCACATCACCAGAGCAAATTCCTTTTAATAGCCAACCTTTATGTTTACAAGAGGTGACTCTCTGAAATCTCTGGAACCAAATGACACATTTTAAGTTTTGTATTACTATGAAAAATATATATATACACAATAATTAAGCACAATAAAAGAACTTCCACAGATTAAATGTTAAAGTCTGCATGATGATTCTATCTCATCTGTCCTGTGCTGTTTAGGTATTTTCAGGTATTCTTTATTATATTTTAGAAGAAGTTGCATATACTAATGCTGCGTCCAATGAAACGCTGTCTCTCTCTTACGATGACACCGACGGGGAGTGTTTCTGAGGGTCGATGTGTTACAGATATCTATGGCCTCACTGATTTATAACTGGATTCAGTGATTCTGGTGAAACTGGATCAGATTTTATGGAGAAAACATTTCCTGGTTTTCCCTCTGACGTCCTCCGGCTGCTCAGCTTCAACTCTCTGTGATTCCTGATGGACAGATAGCTTTAGCTAAAGTAGCTAACTGCTAATTAACTGCTGCGAACTGTAAAACTACCTCAGTACTGGATTACCCCTCGGAGATTGTGTTCGGTCCCGGGTCCGGCTGTGTTCATTGGAAGGTAGATGCTGATGCTATCTCATAGTGCTAGCAGCATAACACAGTGGGGGCATAATACACACTCTGAACTATTGGCTGCTGTAAACGGCAATCAATATCTGTGACATGTCCCTCCCTAAGCGCCGGACTTTAAAAGACACTTTTAGGTTGATGTCCCCAGTTAATTAATGTGTAGGAAATGATAAATAAATCAAAACATAAACTGTATATCTGGACTGTTTTTGTACCGTAGTTTTCCCGTCCACCTCAAAATGTAGAAGTGTAAGGCGGAGAGTCACAATGCCAGTGTGGTGAGCTTGATAACACACTTTCATTCACATTTGACAAACCACTGCCTTATACATTTTGCTCCTGTTAGACCTTCAAGTGACCAGGAAAAGACAGCAATGAGGAGAAATACAGCCATCATCAGGGATGGTGTCTTAGTGATAGACCAGTACAATTATTTTTCCTTTTTAGGTAGTGGACTGGTAAGGCTTCTACAACAGATACAATTACACATGACACAATTTTAACCTATAAGCTGCTCTTTCAGGATCTGGAAACTGCAGGCGCTGTAGTGTAATCTCCAGAGACTGGTTTCAACTGCATGTTTTGTTTTTTTAACTGAAGTTTCTGTATGTTTCATCAACAACAGAGAGAAAGTGATTACAGCATATGTCATTATCTACGCTAAGTGCAGAGGTTCAAGGGTACTTCATTATTTACAGTAAGTTAACACATGCATGCAAATGTGGCTTCAGGTCACTTATGTTAATAACATGAGCACAATATCTAGATTTTCCATCTGTTTGATCACACAAACACACACCATAAGCATGATTTCACTCCGTTTGGGTGAAAAAGATCAGAGGAGGTTGCTAGAGAGGCAGCGTTGTTTGTTTGTATGATCTATTTATCCCTTTAATTGAACTGATCCAACAGTGGGGGTAATTTCCCAGCTGTGGGGGGGGAGGGGCACTGCAGACAGATTAATAAGGAAATAGTGTGCACGCAAACATCCCCTCCCCATGGATCCCATTACTCACCCCGCTGAGCTGATTACAGTGCAGCAGCATCCCAGTCAGCTCCCTCAGTGACTTTTCCACCCGTCTCATGAACTCCACAGACGGCAGCCTCTGGGAGCAGAAGAGGTCCATCGCTCGGGCCGCGACCTGGCAGGCCTGCAGGACGAGGTCGGTAGGTCCCAGCAGAGGGGGTTCCCTGCACGCCGCCACCACTGAGTCCAGGAGCTGGCACACAGAGTCCACCAATACCAACCCAGCACCCCCGTCAGGGCGGAACCACAGCGACTCCAGGCCTCTGCTGCTCTCTTCTACTCGGTGGAGGGCGCACAGCGACTGGAGGAACTGCACATGAGGAAGCAGGGCTTTCCTGTGAGGACTGGAGGGAAGATGCAGCTGAGGGGAAGGGACAGCAGGTTCGGGGTCCGGTAGCAGGAGCTCAGGAGTCTCCGAGTCGCAGTCTGGTTGAAGGTCTGTGCTGTACGCTACACTTTCTGGACCAAACAGATCCTGTGAATTGGTGTCCATTGTGTTGTCTTGACCTGGAAGATTTTACACGGAAAATGAATATAGAGAATATACAACAACTACTCTCTATATATGTCACATGGTGTCTCTCTCCCTCTGCCTGTGTTGTATCGCAGCCTCTCTGTGGTTTGTTTCCATAGCCGGTCTGCTCCGACTGAAACTGCTGTTTTTATCATCTACGTCGGTGAATTAAGGATTTATTTCCACCAAACCAGAGTTGGTGATTGTTGGAAACACTAACAGAGACGGTTTTAATGAGTTTTATTCTGTTTCTGTCCACTTTAATGAAGTTACGATGATCTGAAGGTAAAATGAGTGTTTGTGTCTCTGGAGTCTGGTGGAGAGTGATAGTGATATTACGACTGTTTGTGGTTAAACTAAAGGTCTATCTCTGTAGGGATCCTTTCCATAATGCTGTCAGACACTGATAATAACAACCTATCCTTCCTCACTCTTCTTTTTTCTATTTTCTGTCTGTGAAATGTCACATTTGACTCACTCTGTGACACTGAACATGCTGGGAATCAATAAAATTAAGAGGCACAAAAGGGTCACAGATGGAGAAAAGTGTCACCATGACAATGTGATCTCTCTACAAATTCAGTGAACACTCTTTTGAAAATGTCTCTGATCAGAACAACTAATAAACCAACAGCTTGGATATGAAGGGAACATGGGAACTGGAGAGGAACGCGATCATTTCAAACTGGGAATTATCACACAGACAAGGACATAAAAAAAACAAATATTAGAAGGAAGACATTTGAATGGAAAGTTAAGATTTTTCAGGACTCATCTTAAATCATATTAAATCAATCCAATCACAAGTGGACAGCTTTATATACATCAGGTTACAGCTGGTATTTAAATGCATCTCCAGTGACCACTTGTGATCAGATTTCCCCGCTCTATATGCAAATAAACACTTTTATATGGCTGTACCCTACTCAAGATGTTGTCAGTCAGTCCATTATTACTCTCCTTTTTGTCTACCTGTGCTGTCAATGCGGTGGAACGTTTACCGAATTTACAAGAAGGTCCAAACTGTTTATAATCTGTCGTAGATAAAGTTTCACAAAGTTTATAAAGTGTCTCCTCACTCAATAAGTCTAAAACTGAGATTTTTTTCAGGGAGTCTGGTGATATTGTGTTTACTATTTCAGTGTGTTCACAAACAGGTAACAGAGCTCAAACACATCATTGACAGTACAGGGAACCAATCAGACGGTGTGTTTCTGTGTTCTTACAGGACCTCAGTGAGTGGTCGGTCATTCAATGTGTCCCAGGACTCATCTGTGTTTGCATTACAAAAGATATGTGGTCAAATGTGTCCCAGACCACTGCTGTAAACAGGCTCCGAGTGGTCCCAATAACTTCATATCTCTGTTCATAGGAATTACATTCGGAGGATGCCAGAACCCGCAGACTGCACCCTAACGCCATTATGTCCTGTGTCTCTGAATATGTGACTGTACTGTACAATACTTAAAATAAAAAGAAGTATAAAAAATGTCTATTATCACAGCTACAACTCACACCTGTCATCTCCTAAAGGTCGAAAGGTAAGTGAAGGTCAGATAAAGCAGATCAGAGACGACCACATTCATTAAAGGGCTTTTTATGGTAGCACTGGCAGAAGACACATTATCATACAAAATATCATTCATATTCATAATCCTATGATTAATCTATGATCATTAAAGGACATAATTACAGGTTTTTCCAATGTGATCCCTGTGGTCATGAGGACAGACTGAGGGCGCCGGTTGTGTCTCATAAACCAGTGTTTATGTAGTGTTTTCAACATTCTTTATCCGGGTAAAAAGAAAACATTTCTGGGAGAAGACGTTCATCTGGCATTTGGATAGCCTGTCGCATCGAGGTAAGATAATTATTCTAAATTATCTAAATTCTATAAATACTTGAATAACCTGTAAACTGTTCCTCGAAGTATCTGAAATTATTATGATAGGCGTAATGTTTTCTTATCAAGGCACGTGGTTGTCTTATAGCTATACGTTTGATGATTGCACATGATTTTCTCTCGCATTGTACACAGCCAAATGGACAGAAAAACGCAACAAAAAATTGCGGGCTTCTTCGTACGACGAAGCAGGCCTACCTCACCATCTGCACCTACTGTATTGATGATAATTCAGTGTAAATGCTTTTCACGCAATCATAGGTGAAGGTAAATAAGTGTTTTTCGCTTTTTTTACATGTAATATTGAAAACATTAGTATAGCATTAAACAGCTATTTGCTATGTAAAGGTATATTGGAGTCATGAAGTGTGATTTATGAACCGGAGGTAAAATGAGCAACATCTAGTCTGAGAATCGTATCCAGCACCTTTAAGGCACACTGTGATCCTTGGTTGTGATTTTAAGTCCCTAAAATCACAACAAAATCAAGACTAAAGAGAAAGTTTGTCAAACATAGCAATTCTTTTTCGATACCATGCGTTTAAAACCATTCAACTGTCACTGTGTAGTATCTAAATCTGTACCGGCACAGTGCAGTGTTTCCTCTATGTTGATTTTGGAGCGGTGGCCCGCCGCTGTTAAATTTCTGCCACCGCGGTATCAGAAATGGGGCAGACGCACAATGTAGTCACGGTTGCCTTTTAAATGATCCTGCCGACATAATGCACCCCCGCTGGCTGCCGCTCACATTGCAATTTAACAACAAGTAGAACTATTCAGAGGTTATTGGGGCTGTCCACTTTAACTCCACATACTGTTGTGTTGATGGAGCTTATTGTCAAAACGTTTCTTCCAAGTCGACTATTAAACTAACAGCTCCACCAAACCCGTCACCGCGGTGGGTCCGTTTTAATTGGACAACGTTCAGCTTGTCAGTTCTCAGCTCAACCTCCTGATATCAAACATCTGGAAACATTAAAACGGTAAATATATTTGTTTGTGTCGTAGCGAAGTGTCAGTTCTGTTTCATACGTAAAACGTTTGCCGGCGTGACGGGGGGGTGTTCGGACGGGCCTGCCCACACTGCTAAAAAAAATCCAAGAGGAAACACTGCAGTGTGTAGCTTAATACTAAAAATATCTCTTATTTTGTGTTCCTGGGACTCTTTTTGGTATCGAGTATTGTTTTTTAAAGTTATAAGAAGTTTAAAATTCTGCTATCGTGACAACCTTATTGTAGGGGTTGCAACTCCCTGAATAAACATAAATGAGCAGGTGGACCTTGGTTAATATCATTTTCACAGGCTGTGGCCCTAAATGTCTCCCCTCAGCCCTTGAGCTTTCAGATTTAGGAGGATGAGTGTTTTCCTTGACACTATTTATAACTGTGTGTGTGTTTTACACAGAGCGGGGGTTGTTTCAATATGACCTATTCTCTACAGTGCAACCTTATGGATTATAACATAATTTAAACCAGTCAGGATATTTGGCAACAACCAGCTAGTAGCAAGTTCTTCACTGGGAAAAGGGAAATGAACAATAGGTGAGAGAGGAACCTTTAAATAGTAGAGACATGGAGGATAAAAGAACAAATACATATTGAGCATAAAGTGAACTCTTCATATTATCTGCACTCTGCAAGTCACCTTTCTGCACAAACTTAAATGTAAAGACATTTTAATTTAATAACATTTTCTCTGTCATACCGGCCAGAGTATGAAAGAAATCAATGAAAAGCAGTCGGGACATTATGGCCTCAAGTTATAATGAATTTACTGACATTTAAATCACATTTATATCAGTACTTCCCAGCTGTATATAACAATAATTCCTTATAATATCTTGAATTAATCATTAACTCACACCCTGGAGCTGCACAAGCAGCAGAAAACGGATGGAAGAACCAATTTAATACTATAATAAAATATCTAAAGTACATTTGACATTAGGTCAGAGGCGCTGGAATCGGAGGGGCGACGTGTTACAGTAAGCTCTTCAGCTCCACGCTGACAAACATGTCCGACGTTACTGTCTTTCAGAGGTCGTAGTGGTTCATTGTAGAGAGAAGATACTGGAGTCATATTAAACTAGAAGACCTAAGGCTTCTATTGGTACCAACCTTGTCATGCTAGCTTCTCAGGAAGGGGGCTGAATAACGCTCCAAAGTGAGGCTACACTTTGACGAAAAACTGGCATTTTCAAACAGATCCTTTGACCTCTGACCTCAAGATATCTGAATGAGGTCTGGACATGTGGTCTGTGGGTACCCACGAGTCAGCCCACTTTATGCTCATCTCATGCAGTTTTTTGCTGTATAAATGTGTTATTTTCTCCGAGTGTACTTGAGTATTTCCAGAAACAGTGTTGGAATTGCATAAATTGGGTCTAACTGGAAAGCTGAGACTTGTGTCACTCATCATTGTGTGACGATGAAACTGTCCACAAACTACGAGGGCATCCAGAGGATGGATGAACAATAATTCTGGTGATGTTCAAGCCACTTTTTACTAAAATCAGATCGTTAGGGAGGCTGTTGAATTACTGACAGCTGCTGTTATATTATCCAGCTGTAACGAGCAAATATAATTACTGCCTATTTCATAACTGATACAGGTTGTTGTCATCATAATGTGAACATTAATGTATTCGTGCTGTATTCATCATGTCATGAACTTCTTTATGTTTAGATAACAGCTCTCTGAAACCATTATCAGGAACATTTATACGTTCTTAGAAACTTTACTCTGAGCGGCTTCTCAAATGTTAAGATTCGCTCTTTTTCAACAATTTATGTAACTATAAAGACTTTTCTCTGGGAAATTGTGGACATTTTTCATTACTTTCAGACATTTTATAGAATATATTAATCATATATTCGGTGAGGTGAAACGAGGCTCTGCTTCCTCTCTGCACTGATGTGTTTGACAGAATTTATATATTGTCAATATTGTTGTGTTTTTGTCCCACAATTGTAATAATTTGGTTTATTACAGGCCAATGTAAACAACAATGTATAATATAGTGGACATTATTATCCAAACTAATAAATAACAGATTCACTGAACTAATTACAGTTGTATGCGTTATTAATAAAATATTAAATATAATTACAGCGGCAGGTTCAGGCAGAGAATTACAGCTCTAATACACACTGAGCGGGTCAACCAGCAGCTTTAAAGCTTTATGTATTAGTATTTATTAGTATTATGTATGTAATCATTAGCAGCCCTGTGTGATAACACTCAGTGTCTGAGCTCCTCTGAGGACTGGAGTGAGGACGAACCCGTCCTTGAGAAGGTATCAGTGGAGACACTCTTGAATAACCTGTCAGCTCTTTTTCTGACACTGATTCACCTTTCAGCTGCAGGTCACTGAATGAATTATTCCTAAACTCTGACTTTCGGGGGAGAAACTTTTAGAAAACTACGACCTGATAAATACAACAAGAGCCTGTGTCCACTGGGCTTTTTTTTCTGGCTGGGATGAATCACTTTGAAAGACACAAAATAGTTGAAAATGAGCTCCAACTACAACAGTAAAATCCTGCTTTTACGGTAATGCACAGGTCAGATCAATCCTATCACATAAGCAACGTTTTCCAGATGATACTTCAGTGTGGTTTTAGGATGTGAGTGGATCCTCCTACCTGCTGCCGCTGTGCTGCTCTTTGTGATGGACGTCGCTGTGGCCACCAGTAACTCCTGCCGCAGCCTGAGCACCTCCTGCTGCAGCTCCTGGGCTTTTTTCTTCCAGCCTTCGTCCTGGATCTTCAGCTTGGTGGCCAACACCTCGGCGTACTCTCTGCCGCTCAAACCCGAGGGCTTGCTCTTTATTACGCCCACCGCCTGGGCCACTTTGGCTCGCAGGAAAAAACGCTCGGCTTGAGTCACTCCTGAAACAGAGAGGATGGCAGTGAACCTCGACATTCGGCCATTTTTCTATCACAAAATACAAGGAAGCCTCAAAATAATGGTTTGTTTTGCTGACGTGCACAGAAAAGTACAGAAACTAGTGCGGAAACAATTAGTCAATAACAAAAAATGTATCCGTATAATTCAATAATTTGTTGCTTTCTTTTGACTTATTTGATGGCAAACTGAATATCTTTGAGGTTTGTACTGTTAGACATAAACTACTAGAAGCTTTCATTGCCTTTAATCCAATATATATATATATATATAATATATATATATATATATATATATATATATATATATATGCAGAGGGCCAACAAACTAAACAACTGTACCTTTCTGTTTGACTAATGAAAAGTCTTCCACTGCCCCCAATAAAATACAGATCATGTCTTACATTTCTAAAAGTTTCCTGGAACAAATTTTAATTTAAAATTCATTTAAAATTATTAGAGTTAACTATCCTTCTCTATCAAAGCTGTTATGCATTAAAACACATCCAAACTAATGGAGAATGGCCCTGTAAGCAAATGTTTCCCCCTGTATGATAATAATGTGCAACTTTTATTTATATGGAGTATATAGATAGGAGCCTGTTGCATGTGTGAACCAAAAATAATACAAATCTCTCCATTTTTATTCCTTATTCAGGGCATTTTCTACCATTTTAGGGGGAAAAAACAGTCCGCATATTTAATGTTAAAGATTTCATATGGAAAACATTTAATAAACACAATGTAGCGTTTGTCCTCATTTCTGATCAAAGTGTGACTTTTCATGTTATTTAAAAAAAAAATAAAGTTGTACAGTTAGATATTTGCCCAGAGTATGTTGGTACCAAACGTCAAGACTTTACACCAACCAGAGCAAATGTTACAGTATTTCTCCTCATTAACTTAATAAAGTCACAAACGGGTTAATGATGTATTATTGAGCTTTTAAATCTGTCCTGAGTCCATTATCGGACACTGTTATTTTACTCTAAATCTCAACATCAGTCTTTTCCTCAATGTCAATTTTATTTAAAGCACATTGAAAAACAACAAAAACTATCTTTATAAAGTCATAGAATAAAACAAAGTAATGATGTGTGACTGTAATGTTAAATTAGTTTTCATTTACAGTTAATTAGCTCTGTGTTCACTCCAGCACAGCTAGCACTGGAGCTAAATTTAACTTTGTATTTTGTATAATAAATCCTATATGAAGCCTCATATATTTTGTATAATAAATCCTACATGAAGCCTCATATATGTACAGACAACAGTGCGGCAGTAAACAGCAACTTACGGAGCTTTAAATTAAACTAAAGCGAGCTAAAGTTACCGTGGCACAGAGCTAGCTAACGAATGCTAACAACGCTAACAATGCATCGTGTATCCGGTCATTAAACGACATTAAACGACATTAAACGACTTTAAACGACGTTTCCACCTCAAACTGTGAATGTTAACACGTCAGATAAACGAATTACCTTTTAAATGTCCCTGCTGGCCTTCCATTGCTCCACATTAAAAGGTCACAATCTGAAAGTAACGGTGCTAATGTAGCTCCACAGGTGTTGCAGAAAAATGTGTGACCGTGAGATTCAGTGACAGTCCGCCATGTTGGATTTTGAGCGAACGCTTCAGCTGTCACAATATGCGCCCTGTCAATGAAATGTGTTTAAAATGTTGTTTTTTGCAGATTATTAATATATAACAAATAAAATACAGCCTAAAATATTAAAAAATATTAAAAAAATATATGGAAATAAAGCTTAAAATAATGAATAAATGGTTAAAATAGATGGATAAACACAATGGACTAATGTTGGTCACTTCTTTCACCTGAAGTGGTATTAGAAGGAATGCAAACTAGAGCTGCACAATTCATTTGATTAATGTATCAATATTATTGAAAACTGTGATATGTGCAATATCTAAATGTAATTGATAATTATAGTTTTTATAATTAAGAATTCATTAGATCTTGTACTCCTTTTGAGAATTAACAATTCGTGCTTGTACCCCAATGTCTAAAAAAAATTATTCACAATAATCATAACACAATATCTGCCAAAATAATCAGAATACATATATAGGTATAGTTACCATATTCTAATACAAACTGGACCGAACAGACAGTTTCAAGTTCAATTATATGAAACAAGTAGAATCTCTGAGGGAAACAACCAGTTCACAATAAACTCACTTTACAGTAGTTGTAATAAGATTGTTATAATGATTGTTCCTCAGGGATTTCTGATTAGTTTTTCTGTCTGTGGGTTAAACTCATGGTAGTCTAATTCTCTGAATTTGTGTCAGAATTTGCATACGGTGATTGTTAACCTTTTGGAAGTTTGCAGAATGACATTTTAAAGTGTCCTCGATGTGAGAGCGTTGTTGTGGAAACACGTCCGACCGTTTCCACGAGCCTGAGACACTCACCGGCTCATTATCTGCAGCAACAGGCGGATCCTCTTCTGGATCTGATCTCAGGCAGCTCGCCCTGTTCCAGTTGTTCTGATTGATTTATTATTTGAGCCACAGTCTGTTTGGACTGCAGGCCACGTAGCCAGGTTCAGTTTATTGTATGTAACATGACCTCATTAAAATGCCTATAAACTCTGTGTTCTATGTGTTGTTGAGTTGTGGACATGTTAGCTTTAGTCTTAGTCTGCTAGCAAGCATGTACACTAATGAAAACATACCTATGAATATTATATTTCATTTCTGACAATAGATCCTCCTCAATGTTACACACTGGACCTTTAACAGAGAAAAAAAATCTGCAGATTGATCTCAGTTGTTTAATAATCTGTGAGAGTCTCTATCTCTGCACACACTACAGGATGAACTGCAGCGCGGCCGCTGTCAGGAGAAATATCTCTCTGAAGGTGTTGGCTGAAACAAGCCGACCAGCTCTTCTTCATTTGGAGAAGCAGCAGCTCGATGCAGAGGTCCTGCTGGATCACCGAGTCCATGACCCTCTCACAGAGCGAGGCCAGCCACTTTCCCAAGGAATGTCGTTTCAGCGGAGAGTGTCCATGATGTGATTCCCTCAGTCAGTCGGAGCCTGCGGGCACATAGGTGAAGGTCAAACTCAAACTGGAGAATGGGGAGCTTTCCTTTGTGACTCATCTCTCTCTGCTCGGCCACAGGATCAATACAGAGCCCGCTACAGCTGCACAATGTGAACGCTGGGAGGGTGAAATAAAGTGTGATAATGATTTATTCATAAAATTTCACTTTGATTGTTGTTTATGGACCCTGAAAACCAGTATTGTTTGTCTAAAGAAGAAGTTATCTGAGTTTTAAACGGCCTCAAATGTAATACACTGCTAAATGTTATTCAGTTTTAAATGCACAAGCCCCACCCCTTTTTTGCTCCGTGGTCCAATCACAGTTGAGCAAGCTTGGTCAACTTCCTCCTTTACTAATGCATAGTGCTATATGTAATCTTTTTTTACATAAACTTCCTGCACTTCTTGTGTTCACTATTTGGGTTAAAGAGCCAGTATGTAGGCTTTAGGGGCCTCTAGCGGTGAACTGAACACCGATGGGGTCTGTATTTGGCGAGCTGTAAAGTGGCTATTGTAGAAACATATCGGTTCCACATGGGAGGCAAACCGCACAGTCTGTAGATAAAACACGAGTCTTATGTTCAGGTGATTATACACAAATTAAAACATACCTATGAATATTGTATTACATCCTTCTCAGTGTTACACACTGCACCTTTAAATGTACAATTCATCAGTTATTGCTGAATATAATAAGAAATATCCATAAAACAGCCTATAGTCAGTTTACTGGATGATAGAAAAAGAGGTCCCTTCATGGTAGGAGCCAGTGCTTTATCTGTTTCATGTATTTGTTTCTCTCTTTTCTTCCAGTGTGTTTTCTCTGACTGTGTTATCTAACATCTTACTCATACTGACACTTCCTCTCGTAATGTTTGTTTTCACGTTGTGCTGCTCGTTTTAACCTCGCTAAGGAAGGCGTCATATAAATAGACAGTGAAGATGTTGGCTCAGTGTGTGTCTGAATAAACACGATGAATTAAAGCAGCACAGGTGTTCGCCATCACCGCTGTGATGAATTATGGTCACTGAGTTCAACGCCACTCTCTCTCCATCTGTCTGTCTCTCTCTCTCTCGGTGCTCAGCAGTGTTAAAGTTTGATTGCTTTGAAAATGGAAAGACTCACCGGCTTCATGCATAACAGCTTCCTAAATGTACGACAAATATTGACAGTCTGTTAATTTAATTTAAATATTAACAGTGTTTGAGAAACAAAAGGCATGCTGGGATAGGTTCCAGGTCCACGTAGAGACAAAACATTTCCTCAAATACGACAACTTATTATGCTCAATAAAAAACTTTTAAATAATGTTCTATTAATTGTCTACTTATTTGTAAGTTTCTGGAAAGAATAATTCCAGTTTGTTCCGTTGACTCATTTTGTTGAAGTAGACTTTATATCATTACAAATCTGGAAGTGTTATAATGCGGTATAATTTAGGATTTAACAATTTAGTTTTTATTTCAGTTTATGAATCATCATAAGCCCAAGTCACTATAAAACCTGATGAGTTAGTTCAACTCAAATTGTTTGATTTGAGTATAACTAACTTCATGTATTAAGAAAAGGTCCACTGAATTTACTCAGTTAAAGCAAATTATTATATCACCTGTAAAAACAGCTGACATATGATAACAAACTATTTACAACACATTTTTTAGGGCTTACATTTTGTAATGATACAAAATATTAAACTTAAACAAAATGAGTCAATGGAACAAACTGGAAATAAATCACCAATACATAAAATACTGGACAATTTAAGTGCACTCAAAGTTACTCAACTCAAGTTGTTACTTCAACAGTTCATTTTTGAGTTTTGGCTCAAGTAACTGAGACTCAACATTTTTTGGAGGATTAAGTTATGTTAATTTACTGTATTCATTAAGATATGCTGTTAGGATTCACATCCAAATATTTGTTGAATACAAGGCTCTCATGCATTTTTTATAAATCTTGCTAAAAAGCCAAACCAAAACAAATCAAGATTCTTCATTTGGATTTTTTCAAACAGTTGGTTCCTCAAGTTATTGTACATGGCAATGAAAAAGAAAATTAAATCTATCCTCAAGACCACAGATAACACTTAAAAGCTGCTCTTCAGGGATAACTTTATATCTGCCTGCCTCATCTGCCAGCAGTAAGGTACCGGTTCCTATCTGAGTACACAGGGACCTCTGTCCTCTCCTTAAATTAAATATTATATTCGGTTCTGTGTAGTAATCTTCCTTGATTTGAACATAGTTTCTGAGCTTTGGTTTATACCAAATACCCACTTTCCATTGTTCCTCATGGATGTGTAGTTGCTTTTGTTGAACCCTGGTGGGTGGAGGTGGGTCATCAGCAAGATACAGTTCACCTGGTGTGGTGGCAAGACTATATAAACTGGACACAATCAGCCAGTAGCTCTCTCTGCTGTCTGCTGTCGTCCCAGCCACCACCCTCATGGTTGGCCTCCCCTCTGGCTCGTTGCCGAGCAAGATCCCAGGCCACGGCCATTCCCCCGGTCCCGCCCACACCCCCCCTTTCCAGCCGTTTTAAGGATTACTGTTGATTGCCACCAGCTGCAACGGCTGACATACATAAAGTGCTTTTAGACTGGGAGCCCGCTGAGTTGCCACAAGGGACACCAGTCAGCCCACAGACCTCGACCCTCGTCCGTGGGTCCAGGCCCGGTGGGGGAGACAAGCTTCTCGCTTTGCAATTGGGCGTTTGGTTTTCCACAAGGCAGGAGGAGGGTGCACCGTTCCCGGCGGCACTGCAGTACCGGGTCGATGCGTGGAGTGAACGGAGCAAGCCCCTTTTTCACCTCCATTTCAACATGTTTGATAAGATTTTCACACCATACAAATTTATTTTTAAAAGTATGTAACAAAACAATTACAGTCTGTAAAATCACATTTAAATGTTTAAAGCAATTGTTTTAAAATATTTTACAGTTAATAGTAATAAGGTGGTTAAAGGCATACATTAAAAGTGTGTTGAGTGACTATGTTAAAACATTTTGTCTTTTTCTTTTCTTTTTTTTTTTTTTTAAAGAGGAATGCATTGGTTTAAAACTTTATTTTCGCAGTTCATTTTTGTGCAGGAGTGAGGCGAGTCCTTTTCAAAGAAAACTCTATCCGCTCTCCCAAAACAGAATAGGTCTCTCGGGATCCTGTCATGGTGCTTAGTGGAGATCCTCGCCCTTTTGCTCCTTCCCACCTGCCTCACCCGGAGAGTCAGGCCGCTGCTGCTTTGAACTATCACTGTGTGGCTCCGGCTCCTTCTTCCGAATGGGCACAGAGGTGATTCTTCTTTGTGGCTTGTGTCCTAGGCCCACCGCCTGCAGCAACGGCCATTTGGACTGTTGCTGTGGCCATCCGGATCACCGCCACGGGGGGGATCTGCTTGTGCTTTCTTACCAGCAAGTTTCTGGAGGTCCAAATGGCTTCCTTGATGGCGGCTAGGGTGAGCCGTTGTTGAGCCAGATCACTTGCTGGTGTACTGTTTCTTT